ATTAAAAAAAATTAATATTTCAAGAAATAATTATTATAAAAAAGTATATAATATATAAAATTATACTTTGAGATATTAGTAGATATAATAATAATTTAATATTATATATCTTATGCTTAGATAATATTATATAAAGCTAATAATTATTAATAATTTAATATTATATATCTTATTCTTGAATAATATTTAAATGAATTATATAAAACTAATAATTTGATATTATATATCTTATTTTTATAAAATATATTATATAAAGTTAGAATATAAATATTATATATCTTAAATCTAGCTCTTATAGAGAAATTAATCAAAAAGCTAAGATATTATATTTCAAGTTTGAGTATAGTTTTCATATTAGATTTACAAATAATAATATATAACTGAATAAATTATCAGTATATTTTTTGCTTATATAATCTAATAATAGAAATTAATTATAATTATTTAAATTGATATATATTATATAATATATAGCTAATAATAAAAATTAGTTATCTTGATATATATTGATTTAAAAAGCAAAATGCATATTATACTGATATATATTTTAGTAATTTTTAAGTGATAATACAAATATAATTTATATAATATCTGATATATAAACTATAATAATCTCAGATATATAATAAAAAAAGCAAAATATAATATTCTTAAATATAATTTAAAAAATAAATTATAATATATATCTGAAACTAAAGATAGTTTCTTAACTATTATAATATGATAATAAATAAAGTATTATCTAATTGTAATATATTATAATAAATGATAAATAATCATTACATACTTGCTGTACTATTTTTATCTGAGACTATAATAATCTAATTTAAGTTATTTTTTGTTTATATAAATAAAAAATAACTATTTTTATATTTTAATATAAAAGATTATAAAATATTTTAATAGTTAAATTAAAAATTTAAATATCTTTATCTTTATTATTTCTAAAATTAAATAATTATTTAATTTCTAGTAAAAGATATTTAAAAGATATATAATAATATTTTTAAATAATTTTTATAATTGAATTAAAATTATTATTTAAATATAAAAATATATTAAAGATATTAAATAAAAAAATATAGTATAAATATTTAAAATAAGAAAAATTATATTATTAAGAAGATTTTTAAGTACAAGATATTTAATATTTTTATATAATAATTTAAATTTTATCTTAATAATTATAAAAATTCTTATCATATACTATAAGAAATTTTTTAAAAAAATTAATATATTATAGCTTAGAATTTTATATAAGCAACTTATTTTCTTTAAAAAAAATAATAATATAGTATAAAAAAGAATAATTAATATTGAAAAAAATATTAATTTTTAATTATTTATATAATAAAAGAAAAAATAAAATATTATTAGTAATATTTAATAGATTATAATAATATAAGTAATATAAAATAATAGTTTAAAGATAAATTTATTCAGATTAATTAGTTATAAGAGAAATAATATATTTTTTAATATATTATTATATAATAAAACTTTTATAATTATATTAATTACTTTAATTAAAGTATAAAAATTATTTTCTTGTACATTTATAAAAATAATATTTTTTATCAAGTAAATATAATATTTTTTTTTTTATTTAATATTATAATTATATATAATTAAATTCTTTAATCTTGTATTATTATTAATTATGCAAAATTTTTAATACTAATTATGCAAAAAATTATAAAGTATTATAAATTTATCTTTTATATTCATTTTAATTAATTAATATCAATTAATATAGAATTATATAAATTTATTTTTAGAATTACAGGTTTAAGTAATAATTAAATTTATGAGAATTATTATTAAGTATATAATAATAGATATTATAATTATATTTAATATTTATTTTATATAAATATTATAATAATTATCAATATTAATATCTTATTAATATGCTTGATAAGTTTGAAATTAATAATTCTTTAGATATAAAATTCTTTTATTATATAATTATATGAGATGTAATAATTATTTAAATTTACAAGTATATCTATAAAATAATTAAAATATTATTTAAATTTAAATTATTACCAAATCTTTCTTAAAATTATTAATAAACTTATTTCAAATTTTATATAAAAAGTAATATAAAAATAGAAATTATTTTTTATTTTTGTCTTTGAATTCTTATTTTTGAATTTGAATTAGATGAAAATTATAATTTCTTAAAAAAAATTTTAATATCTTTCCTTTCATAAACTCTCAAAATTTATCAAATAAATATATTATTAAATTATTTTCTTTATTTTTACAAATAAATAGAATATTTATCATAAATTTTATTGCTTTAAAGAAAGATAAATAATTACTTTCCACTTTATCAGTCCTAATAATTCCAGATCACTCTCTATAATTAGTGCTTTCACTTTCAATAATCTCATTAATTTCAAATTACTATATACTTGCTTAAGCATATTATTAAAAGATTAATGAATAATTTACCATGATTCTATTATAACAGTTTAGGCAAAGTATATTATTTATTTCTATATAATCTGGCAGAGTTTTGTTAGTTTGATCTTTGACAATAATGTTTTCAGTTACTTTGTTGATTAATATTTTTGACAAAATATAATAATATACTGAGCCATTTTCACTTCTAAGTAAAATCTTTTATTTTTGGAATTATTTTGCATGGTAAAGGGCAATGCTCTTCTGAAACTAATTATGAAAAAAAATTTTATTTTTCATAAGCAAAATGGTGAAAGGTTGCAATTTTAAAAAGTTCTTTAAATAGTATAAATTAGTTATCCGGGGCTATACCCGGGCAATTGATCGGATCAACCAATCAGACGAAAGTCGTCCTATGAGTTTACATGTAATTATTTTATGAATGGATATTTTTGTCAGGGTGTATATGAAAACATCTATAATTGGGAACAAATTAATACGAAATATAAATCTGGATCTTAAACAAAATTTGTGCTGTTTTTTTGAGGAACTGAAAATTCTGAAAAAGGATTAAGGTTAGTATGGTTAGTATGAAGTATAGAATATAATATTGAATTTATACCGTAAAACCATGAAATAACACACACCTGCGCGTTATCTCGAGTATGCCCACATGCGTTATTTCGAGACAAAAAGTCGATTTTCTGCTAAACCTGATTTTGAGATAACGTTCATGTGCGTTGTACATAAAAATAAATATACTTCTTTTTGAAAGTATGAGTTTTTCATTTTTCTTGTTTTTATGTTTTTTTTATTTTATTTGATTTTACTTTTTTCCTTCGTATTTCTATTGTTTGTTTTACATCTTCTCTTTTTCTTGTATTACCATAATAAAAATGTGATGGTTATTTTTTTGTTTGTTCGCATGCAAGTTTTTTGCTTTATTTACAAGTGAACATGAGCACAAAACGAGTTATACTATCGCGTTTAAACTTGAGGTAATTTTCATATACAGACGCTATCATGCTTCTTTATATTACAAAATCGACCAATCGGGTTCAATAATGATGTCAACAAAAAAAAAAGAATTTATATTAAAAGAGTGCAATTTATCAAGTTATATAGGGGGCGCGCGGACGCCCATGGGCGATATTTCGAGACTATGTATGCTATTTTTTAGAGCATGTGATTTTCGAAATAACGCCCATGCTTGTTATTTCGTTCTACGGGATTAAACTGGCTTTTGATTATTTAAGCCCTATCGCTATTCATTCTATATTAATCTGCGACAGGGATTATGCCTATCAATTGTTTGTATACCTTTCGAGATACTTATGACTTCCCATCTTCGCCAAAATACTCCCCTCTTACAGTATCATATGTTTTGCTATATAATTTTAAGTCGGGCATTATTCTTTGAGGCATTGAACACGCACGTAATTTACGTCGTCACTATGATTAAATATTTCTTTTTAAATTATTTACGTCTATATACTGTATGAAATAAGAAATATTATATTTTGAGCGCAGTATTTTTATGTCCGTCAAAGTAGCACATAGCAAGGCTGAAAGTAGATACCTAAAAAGATTAATTGTTCGTCAAATATTAAGAAAAGATTTAGGATGAAAATTTTAGCACACTTCAAGGAATAAACATGTTGGTATGCCATCAATGGGGACAATGGGACGACGTGGGCAATTCAAATATTGACAAATTTGGTTTTTCATTGATGCTTTATTCAAAAAATAACAATGGACTAAATATAACCTCTTAATTATTCATTCACCGCTGCCACATGAATGATTTTAAAATCTTTTATCTTATTTTAAAGACCTCTTTTAATATTATTATGAATTTAAACTCTATTCGAAAATCATGATTGACTAAATTATGATCTGCTATATATGTACATGTATGTACTTTTAAATGCTTTTAAATGACTTATCTTTGTTATTAAACTTTAAATATGTCCAAAGATTGTTCTGTAAAACAAACCCATTAAAAAAGGGTGTTGCCGAAAAACGTGACAGTATTTAATTTAATTCTCGTGCCGGAATTTACGGATGGGTATTTTCGGGAAAAGTTACAGATACGTGTCATGATCTGTTAAAGATGTGCTACATTAATAAATTTATTGTTTCATTCTGAGATCAATGTGTAACATGTGCAGTAATCGAAAAAATGTATATTAAACTGACGCGCGCGCAAAGCTCTTCCTTTGAGCTATATCTTTCATTTTTCATTTCTTCTTGCTTTGACTATCCCTCCATCTTGCTTTGAACTTTTATTAAGCTATAGTAAGAACTAATACGGTCAAAACTCGTTATAGGAAACATGCAATACGTATAATGAAATTCGCAGCTAAAGAAAATATTTATATTCCCAAAACAAAAATATAGGGAAGTCTATTATTTGCTATATTGGAAAACTTGTTTGTTCTACTGAAAAATCCTTCAGAAACCCACTTCATTATTATAACGAGTTTTGACTGTATTTGTCTCAAATTGTTCGCGCAACCCAAAGTTTCTCAATAGCAAACAAAATCATTGTTTCCGAAAAAGCAACCCGTTTTTCCTCCTCTTTTTCTAAAATGGAATTTTCCGTATCGCTTCAAGAACAAATCCGAGGCATGATCGCCGTATGTGTATTTAGCACAATAAGTAATCTCGCAACCACTATTATGCTATTTTTGATAACAAGACAAAATGTCGTAAACAAAACTGTCACTTATTTGGTGGTGAATCTTTTGATTGGAGACTGGATACAAAGTGTTGGCTTTATGATTACATACTATTGGTTGTCAGATGGGGGTAATATCCATCCTGGTACGATCTGTGACTTTCAGGGTATTCTAATAAATATGGGTGACGTGAGTTCAGGTAAAGCTGCAAGTAAATACAAATGTATCAATTGTTTCTCTTTGATTTATCGAATTATTTTTAATGAAATTTTTTATAGGTTTCTGGGCTTTTACAATTTGTTTGCATACTTTTTCATTGGTGGTCTTTTCCTATGATCCAAAATATTTTCTACAAATATCGATGGCTATAATATGGCCTGTCGTCACTGTAATCTCAGTAATTGGGCTCTCATTTCAAGTCCATAAAAATGCCGTCTTCTTTGGTCCATCAAGTAGTGCCTGGTGCTGGATTAGCAGCGATTTTGTGACATATAGAATTTGGTTCCACTATTTGTTCATGGGAATTTTGGCAATTTCTATGATTATCTTGTATTCGGTCATGTTCATAATAATACAGTGGCGACGTCGAAAAATAAGGATGAGACGAACGAAAAAAGTATTACAACGAAGTGGGAGAAAATTAATTTATTATCCCGTAATTTATGTCATATTAGTTAGTCCTTTGGGTTGCCGTACGTTTACGTATTTTAATATTATTTATTTTTGTGGAATGCGTAAATTTTTCACTAATATTAACTTTTTTTGATTCTTAGTGCGTTTCATTTCTATAGCGGATGATGAGGACGTTCCATATTCATTGTAAGTGCATTCATTAAATTTATTTTACACACAAATACGTATATTCATCATATCTTTCTTTCCATCTAGAACAATTGCAGCAGGCTGCATATTAACTTCTGCGGGAATTGTTAATAGTATAATCTACGGCTTCACGCGCAATATTGTCTCAATAAAACATGCTTTCCCAAAACTACATACGAATTCGAGTTGGTTTGACACCAATGTCCTTGATACCAATGACCTAAGTCGTGTGACTATAAATGTGACCATCACAAGAACGTATGAAAATAATAAAATTATAACAGAAGAGGACGAAGAAGCGACTGTCTGCAAGGGTTAAATTATATTCGACGAAGCGGCCAGAAATGCTTAAATCAAAAAATTCGCAAACTTCTCCAGTTTAACTTTAATATCATAGAGCTTAATCAGCAGTTTTTTGCATTATTAAATTTCATAAAGCGATTTTTATGAATTTTTTAGATAAATGTATAAATTTAGTTTAGATCGTTTATTTTTTAATTAGCATTACACACAGTTATGTACATGTATAATAATAGGTTACTCAATACCCGATATCGTGTACAAATTTCTCCTGTCAGATAAATCCAATATACATGTAAATAGAAGTTATATATTTACGAAAGATCGCTATTGAGTACTCGTTTCTAACGGGGGGTTTTATTCCGTACATAATACATAATAATTAATAATATCATAACTGAAGTCTGAATCTATTTTTGAAAAATTTGTTTGTATTAGAACCACTTTCACTTTAGAGAAATGTTACGTAATTGTGTAATGATTTCATGAATTCAACACAACATCACGTTTCCACAATCCATTTTTCTTCATCAAGGTATACGCCCAATCATGATGCTATATAAATTGACCCCAAACCTCCTTTTGCAAAATATTCTGCATTAGTAAATTTTCCAATTTTTTGCATTCTTTCATTAGATTGTCGATATCTTATCTCCGCTAGACTAGTCATCGTTATATTTAGAACGCTTAATCGCAGTATACATCATATCGACAATAGTTCACATTTAAATACCCCTCACGGTACCAATTATTTTGACATTTACTATTTTATTCCATTTCGATTCACTTTAGAAAATACGAATTGCTTGAAATGATAGTAAAACAAACGAGATATATGTAATTGTTGTCGTTATACATGTATGTGGTGATTTACATCTCCGAAGAGAAATGTTTTTTGTTTTGACCGGAGGCTAACAACTGTCAATTTTTTATCCAGAATTCTGTATCCAAGTACCCGTAATGACGATATGCCATGCATTAAATAGAAAGATGGTTGTTTATTATTACTGTTATTACGTGCGTGTATTTTAATTTGCTTTTTTAATATGAGAAAACAAATTAAATAATATGTAAAAATAAGTCTATTTTATTGAATTTATAATGCTAAATGATATTACAATATCATTACGTATTTGAATTTTTTTTTCATTTATTTAATAAAAATATCACAAATGAAATTAGATAAGTCGATATGTTCATATATAAAAGATATACATTAACAGTCGCCACAAAAAGTAACGCCCAATTATTTTAAAAAATGAAATTTCAGATTTATTTTATTCCGTCTTATGTGTATGAAAATAATTTTTTACCACTAGGTAATACATTATTAGCTCTTATATGGCTCTAATATGGCTTTCTCAAGGCATTGAGCCTACAACCTTCTCAAAAGCAAACACATCAAACTTCTTTCAGAGTAGTTTTGAGCTTTTCACGATCTTGGGAAGCTTTTGCACTTTTTAACATTGTTCCCAATAACCCACAGTTATTTCTATGAAGTCAGAGTCAAAATAATGCATTCATTGATTTTCTCTATTTGATTCTATTCATGGCTTCTTTCCCAATTGTAGATTAAGTGTTATTTTTTTGAAACATCATAATCAACGAACAAATTATATTATGAAAAGGAACTAAATTACCTTAGAGAATCTTCAGGTAAGCTTCTGCATGGATTTTTTATTACCAATGTTGTGAAATGGCTCAGAACGTCTTTTTTGGCTTCTTATATAAGTGCATTTTTTTTTCTTAGTTGTTAAAAGCTTATGTCTCCCAGACAGTGATAAATTGTATTTGGCAAGAGATCATTATACTATCATCAGGCTACAACACATTTTTCTTGCAGCTTGACTGGCACTGACTTTTCTCTGTTTGAATCTATTTCATTTTTTCTTTCTTAAATGTAGATCAAGTTTTTTTTAAACCATCATGTAATCAATGAACAAATTATATTATAAAAGGGATCAAATTACCTTAGAGAATCTTCAGGTAAGTTTTTGCATGGCTTTTTTGATTGTTAAAAGGTTACGATCTCACTGAAATGGTAGATTTTCGTTTTTCCTGTTTCTTTTGTCCTTGACAAGAGACCATATATACTCTTACCAGATGATGACTCATTTTTCTTGCAACCTGCTTGGCATTCATAACTTCAATAAAAATCACTATTTTTACCCTTGCTAAAGATGGCCAAATGGTACAATAGGTATCAGATTTACATCTAAAAAATTTTCGCCTAGCATATGTTTAAAAATAAAAGAAAATTAGGGTTAACAACAAAAAAATGGAAAAACGCGACGCATATTGTTACATGGTAATATTTATTTCCATTTTAGAACGATAATATTTATCTTTTTATCTTTTTTGGTATAATTTTTTCCATCATTTTTCTCTCGCGAGACTCCTTATATAATAATCTTTCTTCGATAATTTTTCCCACAAATTATCACATCAAATTTTTTCTTTTAATATAATTTCCTCCAATAAAATATGCAATAAATTATCTCGAGCCAAATGTATAGAAGGACAGTTGCGTAAAGTCAAATAAAATGTGCTTTAAAGCTCTTATTTATATGATCGTGTATAATTGTGTACAAATTGCCACCCTTGACCGTGAATTTCCGATTTAATGTGATTGATGGTTAGGTCCCAGAAAAGGCGTACGATTATTGTAATTGCGTTAGATGTACCGATAGTAGGAGTCTATGGCTTTTATCTATAAAAAGTAACGTTTGCATGAATAATTAATTTATAAACCTGTGAGATAATTAAATAACCTTTAATAAAAAGAATTAGAAGATATAATTACCCGCATTAAGTATATTTGATACTATTTGACTTGCTTCTATTTCCTTGTGCCATTCAATACAAGTCGAAGAAAGTATAGGATGGCAGTATATCGGACCTTATAAGCATTAGAGAGTGGTTCCTTTTGGATTACCATTACAACAAAATCAATAGTCTTACAGATTATATTTTCATGTTCATATTCAGCATATTCCTCATCAATAATATTTCCAGCCTGTCTTTGTAATTATCCATCCTCATTCTCATCATCGGCATCATTATAAAAGATACTTTCTTATGAGAAAAAGATTGCTTGGTTTGTTAATAATGAATTGTTTCTCGCCTAAATTTTTCATTCAAAAATTTTTTAAATTAGAGTTATTTGGATGAGAAAGATTTCAAAAAGAATTTAATTTATTAAAATAAAAAAATCACCTCTTTGTCGCTGCAAAAAGAACTCTGTAATTAATGCAGTTCTTACTGCTGCTTCTCGTTGGGTTTGCCTTTTTCGTCGTTTTGCTCGTCTTGAGTCTCCTCTGTAACAGAAAGGATGGGTTTGCTTTTCAAACCTTTTTTAGATTCAACAAGTAAAAGGTCACTAATTGAACACCCATGTTCGTCATTGTTTAACTCATCATCAACTTAAAGCACTTCATTATCGGAATTAAATTGATTCAACGAGTTGAATTGTCTCTTTCATACTCCTCACTTGATTCCAGATCAACGAGGTTAGCGACTCTTGCCGAGTGGTGCGCGCATGTACAGCATTTGCACGTAGTTGTTGCCTTCTTTTTGATAGTCTCGTCATGACTATGGGGCCGACAATGACTTTTTTTATATAGTGGCCAAATATTACCGGGGAAAAAAAATGAAATTCCGAAAGCCTGGCCTGGCCAAATAGCTATAATTTGGCAATTGTATCCCTGAATTATATCGGTTGGCGTAATGTGGTAAGGTGTCACAGGTCGATCACATGCAAAAGGTCATGTCAGAAAAGGATACGGTTTTCTTAACGTATGTATATGTATAATAAAAATTTAATGTAACGATAAGAATATAATAAAGTAGAATGATTAAGTACAATACAAAATATGAATTTTGTAAGAATCTCTATGGATCAAAAGATGACGTACGATACATAAGAATTTTTGTAAGAATTTGTGAAGAGGCATCAATATTGATACTACATGTTCAAAGAATTTTCGTATGAATTCGCGAGAGTGATACGAAACATTCCTAATTATTAAAGATCTCGCACCAGAATTTTCATAATCACGGGATTTCTCGTTGCGACAGCAATATCTATAATCATGAATTTGTAGTTTTAAACTTCGTCTATGTCATATACATTTTTCGAAAATATTAATTTTTGTCTTCATTCGGAGCATACAATCCAAAACCTAAATATTACTATATATAATTGTGGTATATTTAATAATTTTTACCTTCATTTGATATATACTGTATATATAAATAATTTATGTTATATATAAATAATTTATGTTGGTGATTTTGACATCGAAATATCAAATTCTGTAGAAATAAGTATTTTTTCAATATGTTTCATATATTTATTTTGGAACATACAAACTAACACGTATTAATAATTTATGCATGTAATTTCTAGACAAGCTTATACATGTAGATTATAATATATGTAAAGAGGGTGTTTTATTAATAGCGGCTAGATACCGATACTTGAAAAGTTATAAATGCTACTTTAGAAAAGAGGATTATCGACGAGTTTGATTGTAATTTGATTAGAATTCAAAATTTTAATAGAAAAACTGTAGTAAATGGTATTTTTAATGGTTTCTTTTCTAACAACTGAATTCATATTGTCTAAACTGGAATATTTTTGTTGAAGTTCTATCTCTTGACAAAAGCATTTAAAAGTCCTCATCCTAGAATTTGCACATTTGTGATAAAATTTATGAATATAATTTGACAATTCATATGGTCGACAAACGAAATCACGAATGAACGACATAATCATTTGGCGATTTTTTTAACCTTACATTTATCGATATTTTTGATGGCTTGTCAAAATACAATATTCTCTGTTGACGGATATAACTACGGTTGTATTTACGATCATGCCGACGTAATCCAATGTATATTCAACGAGGTGCTCATCACACTTGGTCTCATCGACGATATCTCAAATAACTTTATTTGAAGATGCGTTCAAGAAAGATGGGTGTTGTACCAAAAATACTTCCGTCCACCGTACGGTGATCACGATAGTTGCATTATCGATATTCTTGCAAGTCTTGGATCTTCCTTGGGATTTGGATAATGACGGTTCAACTCCCGCACTGTCGGAACAAGTGTATTGCGAATTCGCCATCGCCGAATCATCATATTGCTTAAATCATGACGCAAAACAAGATACTGTATCGATTTCGTCATGCAAAATACAGTATATATATATATATATATATATACACAAAAAAATTTATATAATTTATAGACATGCAATTCTTTAATTCTTTGATGCGAGGATTGCACGTATGTTGATCGCTTTTTATAAAAGCCAAATTCATATCGATATCGATATGGTTAATCAGTCTATATCGATATGATATTGACATTGATCTTATTGGAAAAATCAAATTAATCAAAATTGATTAATTTGATAACTAATGTTAATAAATACATGCTCTAAATTAGGAAACATCAACCGAAAAAAAAATGGGTACCGTATTGCCTTTTATACATGTTCATGTATTTACGCTTTTGTGCACAATTCTAATTTTCAATAATGCTGCTCAACCAAAAAAATCATTTATTCATTGTCGTCATGTATGTAGATGTTATAATAAACGTTCATGGCCTTCCAGATATGACTGGCGAATTCCTTCTCTTTCTGCATACGACGACTACTATTATAACCACTACCCAGTAAATAATAATTATTACGATGCACCATTCGACGATGAATCAGACGAAATATTACCTATTCCCAATACACTATTTCTTGATGAAGAACGAGAACAAGATGATAATAAAATTACATCATCACCGTCTCCAGCAACCAGTAATACCACGATTACAATTCAGGCAACGATTACTGTTCCTTTAAATGCTACAAACAATGATTCAACCCCAAATATTACATCGACCATTCCTCAAACACAACAAAACAAAAAATTAACTAAACGAAAATTTACAAAAAAATCACGTGAGATAAATCAGAAAGAAGAAATTACAAAACCATCTAAACATAATGCGTTAATTCCGGGAAACAGTGCTAATCCTATAAAAGAAAATAAAGCGCCAACAACAAATAATACTAATAATGACACTTGTATTGTGATTGATCTTACAGCGACCGTTAATACAACATTTTCGAATCCGGATGCTAAAGCTAAAAAGGCTAATAATAATTACAATAATAAGAGAAAAAGAGAATTATGATCAGAGATAGCATATATAATATATATCTTTATTTTCTGCTTAATTTTATTGCCAACTTTGTTTCATTAACCGCTAACGCTAATAAGAATAAACATAACGTACTAATAATACAATCAGATGAGATTATGTTTCAAATAAAAATGAAACATGAATATTAATGTGTGTTTGAATATAATATTGATATGTACACGTATATATATAAACATAAAATTAAAAAAAAATCCCTTGGAAAAATTATTCGTTGACACCGAAATTAGTTGAGTAATTGATGGTTTTAAAAAGTACTTTTCAATATTAATAATTTTTATTTTTCATCTCATATAGACGATAATTAAAATGAATATGTCATCCAACAAAATAGATGCCATTCCTCGAATGAATTATCCCATTGCAAGGGACGAAAATACAAATTCAACAGAAATCTCAATACCTCAAAATCGCACATATAATATTAATGATAACTCTATATCGACAGGAACTCTGATTATTACTACAATATTATCAGTAACTATTGGAATATTTGTGCTATCTATTTGTTGTTTACATTCTTATTATCAGAAAACTAGAAATACAAAGAATAAGATAGCACTAGACCCGTGATAAAATATAAAATGATTATTGGGTCTTCAGTTAATTGGGGTATTTACCCTTTTGTTTTTTTTTCTTTTAATAATTTAATTTTTTGAGTTAACTGATTTAATAGAAAATAAAATTTATACCTTGCCAATATTACGTATGCTGTTTAAATGAAAAATAAATAATTAAGTATGGATTTTGTTCCCAGTAAGAATCACAAAAGTATTCCTTCCTTTTTTTCCGTACAGTAAACGAGCATCTTTAAATTTATAATGATTATGTTGTTCAATATTGTAATAAATAAAATTTCGCCTGAAGATGATAACAACGATGACGCTTCTTTTTTTAGCTTGTCGAACGAATTCTATGTTAGAAACAGTAATATACCATATGACCCAAAAGTATAACATCACATCATTATAACAACCGAATTCTCATAATGTATCTAAATGCATGTACATTATCATTATTTGGCCAATTTAGAGAGATTATGAATAACGATAAATATAGAGCAATGGATTATCCTCCCGTAAACTTATAAAACCGGCAATCTTCTCTCGCTTAAACAATCAAACATCGTGTTAGATCCGACTTTCCTGAAACAGGGTATTTATACGTCATAAGACCGATAGGTAAAAAGAAAAGCAAAAAAAAAACGCCATTAATAATCCCAAATTTCGCCCGCGTAATATGGAATCAAAAGCAAAGTTGTACTAGAAACTAGACCAAGCTCGAGAAGGCAATACGAAAGAAATAAATGGAAAAAATTTTTAAAGTCTGTTTTTGTTTATGGATGATAATAATAAGAATGATGATTATCTATATATAATACATATACTGAAACGATTTTTCGGTTCTTCCCGTTATCGTTATACCCACACCATGCTAATAAATCTGAGAGCAGAGTCCCACCACCCTACTCAGTCCTGGCAAGCGTCATATCGCACGAATTATTGTAGTTTAACTGTAAAACTGGTGGTTAACTGTAAAACTGGAGTTAAAAGGATCCAACACCCTTTTTATTGTATTATTAGATTCACACGTGCGTACAAAGTATTACATCATCATGGAAGAAAAAGGCCAACATTTAGTAATGCAAGCATTACAAACACATGAAACTCGTACCTTATACATGTGTCATTCAAAACTTTTCTCGCCCCAAAAATTGCTATGATAGATCACAATTTGGCAACATAGTACAAGCTCCGGCAAGATCCTCTACAGTCAAACCTCTCTGCAATGGATTGCCATTTTTTAACCGTTATAGAGTCACATCGTTATATACTATATAGCGGCCTACGGAATTTTTTTACCCAGGAAAAAATTGTTGATTTGATAAGATGGATAATATTTAAAATTTTCTCATGATATTAATATCTCCAGGAGAGATTTCAATTGTTTGATAAAGATAGGTAAGATCATACGAATGAGATATACATGTATCATCCGGATTTTCAGGATCTTCAGCTTGTTGCAAAATTTCATTATTAGATAAAAATAATTGGCATTATGTAATCTAGTAGAGGCCTAGCAGAATATTATGGACACTTTTAAATTTTAAATATCAAGTAAATAAGCAAATATTAAAAATAAAAATTTTAAATTCTTGAAAAATTTAGTTTTCAAACAAAAAAAAAGAAATTCCATACAATAATTTTTGGATGGGTAACGGTAATATTTTTGTGCAATATCATCACTAGATACATATACATGTACATGTACATGTATATGTACATGTATATGTATCGAGATATTGCACATAAATTTAATGCATAATTAATTTGGCATGTCATAACTTTTATGAGCAATATCTTATCACATAATAATCATAATTACATGAAAATATCACCATTCGATTCGTCTAATTACATGTATAACAAATTAAATGGTGATATTCTTTGTATAATTACAATTATCACAAAATGAGATATTGCTTGTAAAAATTGCAGTGCATAAAATTGATTGCCAATTTAGATCGAAATTTTGACATAATGTAACTTCTAGATGCAATATATCGATATTAATATACAAAAAAATTTCATGTGATTTTTTTCATGTGTTCAGATTTATTAAAAACTGCTAATCAAATTTAGACACGATTAACCAACCCCAAGACTCGATTATACGCTCATGTATTTTTGATATAATCCCTTTCTCGAGAAATGCCCCAAAAATCGAAGGTAATAACTAAAAAATCGCAAGCTAATACAATTTTGTATTTCTAGAGTGCAGGAATACGAACTGCAGCTGAAATTCACAAGCGGACTGGTATTGGCCTTTCGACAATTTATTATAACTTAAAAAAATTGGAAAACAAAAGGAGCGTAACTCGCTCAGGTCGGCTGAGGAAAATCGATTCTACGGCATCAAGATCAATAGGACAACTTATCCGTCGTAATCCTGAAGAAACGACAAGTAGTTTAGCCGAAAAATTGTCAAAGAAGGGTACCACAGTCTCTAGACATATTGTAGGAAGACACCTTCGCCGGCAACAATATAAAAATTCTCTTCCTCTCGCAACGCCAATACTTCAGATGAGCACAAACGAAAACGAGTTGAATGGGCTCAAATCACTTTGATGATGACTGGTCGCTGACTTTATTTTCAGACGAAACATCATTTCATTATTCAGAAACACGATTACGAAATGGTACAAGGGTCATCGACCAATAAGACCTATCCCAAAAAACCGAAAAAGAATTCATGCCTGGGGTGGGTTTTCTACTTTGGGTAAAACAAGTCTTTACTGCTTTGTAAGCAAGATGGACGCCAAATTTTTTGTCGGAATTCTTGAAGAACAACTCCCTGAAGTTCAAGAAATGATGGGAGATAATTGACGGCTTCAACAAAACAACAATCCGAAGCACACAAGCCGTCAGGCTAAAAAATTTCTCCGAGAAAACGTTTCAACCGTGATGGATTGGCCATCCAATAGCCCCGAGCTTAATCCCATTGAAAACTTGTGGAATATGAATGTAGAAAAGAGAAAATCACGAAATTTGGAAGATTTATGGCGGAGGAATGGGAGTTAATCGATGATGAGATCCTCAAAAATTTGGTTAGTTCAATGAAAACGAGATGTGAGGAGGTTATTAAGGCAAACGGCGAAAGAATAAACTATTAACGTTAATTTTTTTTATTATGTAAATCTCATGTTATTATTCTACCAAATAAAAAAAAGTTTAGTGAAACAATTATTTGATCGTCAAGAAAAACCTTGTGAAACAATTCCAAAATTTTTTGCTCGCCAAAATCTATTTATCTCATTATAGTGAATCAAATAGTGCAATTCTGATCATTGCATATCAAGTTTATCAAAAATCTTAAACAGTTAGGACAAAAATGTTTTATATTGATACTTGAAAGAGTTTTATGATATTTTTATCATATGGTTGTAAATTTATTATGAAATGCTAGTGATAACCATATGAATAGAGATATATTATCAACCAAAAAAAATAAGATTTCGTTATAATAATAAATTTAAATATTAAGAAATGTATTACAAAGACTAAATAAGGAAATTACCGCCAAATTCTGATATGCCGGTCTTCATTTATTTCATTAAGTAGATATTTAACAACAAAAGATGGGGGATTTTCAGAGCATAAAGAACTCATCGAATCAGCCGTCATCGCTGTTAATAATAGATGACCAACACACTTTACCAATGTATAATATAAGCAAGGCGACAAACTATGATAGAAATAGTGAACCAATGATAATGTTCGCATAAGACCAATCGGATTCTTCCCTCTCTAAATGAGGATTTACCGTATTGTTATAACAATCGGTATTACCGAAATCTATAATTGTATTGTCTTTCAAGAAGTAATGGAATCCTTCGAGCTTTAAGAAAATTTAAATGTGAAGACACGAAGAAATAAAAATTCAAAAATCATGCATTAATAGATGAGCAGTTTTTCCTATGAAAAGCTTGGAGTGAATAGCGATTAAAAGTAATGTCGATTTTGGTCGTGGAATTTCATCACCCATGCATTGTACTGATCATTTGATTGATTGTTTATTAGTATTAGGTTTGAGTGCTTAATTGAATGGATAATAGGGATTAATTGAATAAGCATAAAATCAGATAATTAAGTAACCGAATAAGTGTCAAATCTGCTCGGATATTTTTGTTCGGACACATGGTTAGATTAGATTGGGTCACTAGCAATTAGGTAAGCTATTATAATAAATTCTACGGTTGTTAATTTTAAGCGTCACAAAAATTTGTAATTTGCATTGTCCACTAAATGGCAAAATGATCACGGTAGAATTTACATAACGGGAATGTATCCGGACCGTACACCAATTAATCTTTTGTGGCACCAAAAATATGGATGTTTCATAATCTTTATGAATGTCAAGAAATAGTATAGCGTCTTCTTATGCTCGAGTACTTTTCTTGGAGTTGTTTAAATTTACTGTCTCAAAATTGATAATGGTGCATTGACTACTAAATTACAATAGGATTCGTAACAATTTGTAATATCTGGACTCTCCCGCTGTTCACCAATTGGTTCAATATTAATATATGAATAAAAAAGGCTCCTTTCGTTAAAGGTCAGGAAATAATATATAAATAGGCGTTTGGACGAGAATTTTTTGCCTCAGAAAATTATCTTTACATTGCCAACATGGGTTTACTTTACAATATTCTCAACAACTTTCAAGTTTCCGATATTTGGATCGTATCACTAACTATAGTGGTCTTATATGTAATACATTTTTATTATAAATACTTTACCCGTATTAATCCATTTCCTGGCCCAATTCCAATTCCGTTGATCGGTAGTTTCGCAATATTTATGGAAGACATCGATGATTGGTTTCATAAATTAAACAAGAAGTACGGACACAATGGCGTATACGAATTGAACATTGCTGGCAATAGACAAATCGTTATTACTCGCGCGGAATATGTTGATAAACTCGTGGCTACCGATAATAAGGCGCATCTCATGAGAACCGCCAATAATGGTCTATTGGGTTTATTTGATCTTGAGAAGAAAGGCGTAGGACTGAATCACGACTACAATTACTGGAAATTCAATCGTCATATTTTTTCGCAGGCCATTATGCCATTAAGTTTGACCGAGAAACCGAGCACAATTTTAAACCAGCTGTATGACGAGATGGCACGACATTGGATCGATTTGAAGCAACCAAATAACAAGGGAAGCGTTATCGATATCTCTGCTTGGATGCGTCATTTTACGGCGGATTTCATATCAATGTTGACAGCTGGAAAGCGAATGGCTGTCATGCAGCACTATTGCCAGAAACTAAAAAATGAACCGCCCACCAAAGAGATGATCGAAACCGAAGAGTTTATCGAATGCATAAATGCCTTTGTATCAGATAATCAAATCATATTTGTACCCAAACTTTTAAGAGGCTTGCCTTTTATTAGACCTCGTGTGGACAAACTGTTAAACAGTTGTCATCGATTTTACGACCTATTGGTGAATATTGTTAAGGAAAAAAGAAAAGAGATTGAAGAAAAAGGAGTGCAGGTCGACGCTGACACGCGGATGGATTTGCTAACATCTTTACTCGTTGCCAATACAAAATATGATCCTAATCCTCAAGACAACGTTGATCCATCATTTACAAGACCGATGAATGATGATGAAATTCGTGGGGTCATGTTTGACGCGTTTGTTGCCGGCACAGATACGGTATGTAATGCGCTGTAAACCATGCATTTTGTTCTAATTAATTCAACTTGTTATGAATGCTAATTGATTCGTTTATTTATTTATCGAATGTCTAGACCGTAAATACTTTCTGTTTCGCATTATATTACATCACGCATCATCCAGAAGTTAAAAAGAAATTGCTGAAAGAGATTGAAACGGTTTTCAAAAATGACCCAAACAAACCGATAACATTAGAAGACCTTCCAAAATTAAAATACACTGAAGCGATTATTAAAGAAACGTCAAGGATAAGACCTACAGTTAGTATGGTCTCAAGATACAGTAATCGACCTGACGAAATAGCAGGATGCCAATGGCCGGCCAATACGTTATTTATAATGTACGTTCGTGGGATCAACAACAACCCACTTTATTGGAAAGACCCTGAACGTTTTATCCCGGAAAGATTTTATGACTCTCAAGGGATACATAAAAATTCTTTCTCCATGTTTGGTGGGGGTCCGAGAATGTGTCTAGGTAGAAAAATTGCAATTATCGAATTGATAACATTATTGGCCTCAGTTTACAGACAGTTTGATATTGAATTGATGGATATGAATGCACCGCTTAAACTCGAAACTTCAACAATCACAGTCTGTAAAGAGTTAAAGATTAGAGTTATTCCTAGAGAAAAAATCGGGTCAAGAAACTGATTTTTGATAAGTTAATTTAATTGTATTTTCTGTCCACTCTATTAATAAGTAACATTCGTGGATGATGAAATTTTTCTTTCTTAATTATTTTTATTATTATTATTAATTTTTGCATAAACGAATTGATTATCACGATACATGTTCCCCTCAATACAAGAATTTTTGTACAGTATAATAAATAGATGTTTCACCAACAATTTTATCTAATTACTATAAAACGATGTGTGTCATTTTTGTGCGCGCTACCAACTTGAGAAGGCAAGCCCTTCCGTTAATGATTTTACATGCGTTATATGGTCATCACGCTCCCATTGGTTTGACATTCAGAGCGGACATTAAGGAATTGATCATTGTTTGCGTGCTTTCAATCGTTCAACTACGTCAATTATCGATATTCTTTTTTCATTCGATGGCTTTTCATGTAATCCATGCGCAGTCTCGGTGCACATCGCTTACTTATGCTATTCTATCGTCTTACTACTGTCTTTATCTTTGTACAGTTGACTGATATAAATCAAAGTGGACGGTTGATCTATGGTTATTTCAGGCGCAATAAGCAAATAATGGAAGAAATCGGAAGATTCGAGTAACAAGTGTTCCCATGCATTTACGCATAAAATGTTCAAGCCAAATGGTGTCAAAAGATCGGATAGCAGTAGGAAATTGTCATCGGAATATGGTTGCAATATTAATACACGTATGCCCGACGCGTGTGAAAAGAAAGAAGAGATTCGAACATACCAGAACTTGTGTACACATTTTGAAGGTGTGATAACTGCGCCCTTGTCAGAAACATGAAGTACATGCACGACTTCAAACAGTTAATAAGGAAGACCGATGGTCAGAGAAAGCAAGACTCCGGTCAGAATTATAACATGAATTCCTCTAATAAAAGCTAGCCTTGTTATATCATTACACGATATTTTGTTCTCCTACGCGCCACCCAAATGAATTTTTTTTATTATTACAGTCACTAACAAAATTGTTTCAGAACAAAAGACTAATAAAACAAGAATGTAGATTGCAAACTAGAATTAAAAAAATATATGACTATTAAATAATGGATAAGAATGCAGTAATATAATTCGGAATTAAGAATATATTCAAACAAGTCAAACAGTACATTTAGTAGGAAGCGTTAAGTATTGTAGGCTCTCTGATATACTGATGTCACCTGGCCTGTGAGCGCATTAGAGGCTAGGTTCCTAATAAAATCGTAGACAAATGATGATAAGTAATAGTTTTTGTATTTCACCTCATTGGATACTAGTCGAAACAATTGTCGCGTGATGGCTTGTGAGATACAGTGGCGATCAAATGTTTTGCATCACCTGGATCACAAAAAAGAAATCGTGATATCTCGCGATCTATAGATAGT